CACCCCTAAAGTGATTTATGGGTATTATCCCATTTTCTTGGTGTTGACATGATACGACATTAATGAACAGTTGCAAGTCATTCTTCTATAATTATTGCAGTGACAGCGATTTTTATTCTTTATGACATGAAAATTGTGCCTCGAGTTTTTGAAACACCCTTCTCTTTTTTAAAAAAGCTTTTGAAACTGTAAAGTAAACTGACATTACGTGTAAAGGATCTCCGATTTAAACTTTTCTAGACTTTTTTCTGTACATGAAAATTTGACACATACCTAGGAGAGTATAAATGTATTTGATGATTTATCGGATGAAAAATATTGCATGAAAGAAACAACATCATCGAAGTGTTTTTCTAATGGTATTAATGAATAGAATGTTACTTGATTATGACTTTTACTTCATTTTGATTGATGACATTCGTTAACTATAATTTTGTGTGTTTGCAATAACATCTACAGGATGATGCTAATAATTTCCATCCTAATACTAATTATGATGAGCTTATATGGAATCATGGAAAATAGCAAGAAAATAAAACAGGTATAGTACAAAAAATGAAGTTAGTCCGAAAATTCAACAAATAATTTATTCATTAGATCGCATAGGTTAAGACCTTTTTTCGTTGTATCATTATTTATCGAACCGATGTTTTCTAAATTCAAAATCATATTATATTAAAAATTAATGCTTTCTTGATTGATTCAGTGAGTTGACTTATTTTGATGACTGTTCGTGCCCGCTTCGCTAATTAATCTCTGCGAAGCATGAGCTTGTGATTTGCGCTATCGTTACGTTATTTATGGGCTGGAATCACATTTATTGCTTGATATTTGATTTTGAACAAATTAAAGAAACAAAAATTATAATGAAAACTAAATTTTTCCGATTATTGCTTACTTTTTGATGCCAAGTTTAATGATCATCTCTGATTAATCATTTGCAACTTTGTTTAAAGCAAACTCAAGCGAACGATAATGTTAGTTACTGCTGTATTGTGAAAAATTTCAACTGCCACTACTTTATCACTAATTTTAAGATGTTCTTTATGTTTCGAGTTTTGATAATGCAGAAATTAGTAAATTTGCTTATGTGAATTTAAACTACTATTACCAGTAGTTTGCCAATAGTTCAATGATTTATAAAGTGTGATTTTGACTGACAAATTTTTTAGCACTGGAATACATTTCTGATTGAGTGCCCTGGATACCTATTGCTGTTTCGAGACTAAATGATCGCCTTACCTTTTTCTTGTTTTTAAACTAATAGCATGGGTGGATAACTCTTTTCTCCTGATGTATCTAAATTTCAAACTGTGGTGAATATTACTACTTCTTTCAACTTAAATATATCATTAGTTAATCGAATAATTGTGAGTATATTTTCTCTTTTATCATAACTCGCCATTATTTATAAATATTCCATTACAGGGTAGCAGAATGGAAAAATCAAGCACCCCCTAATGTCCTGACCTTTGACTTGTGAAGGAATGATGGATTTGTCAAAGTTGTTTCTTATATTATTCACCTAATCATTAATTCATCTCTTTCATATTTTGCCTTTATTTCAATCAGAAGTTATTGTTCTGAAATTGATTATCATAGCGTAGATAGAATTATGGTTTATTGTAATTTCTTCTGTTATTCTTTTATTACTTCGTTAAGTTTGCTCACAGTCACCGAATATGAGCAAAAGCTTAAAATAGAATCTTTTTTATTTTACATTTACCAAATTTGAGATTAACAACTAGATATTGATTTAGTATAAACATAATTTTAATTACCTAAAAAGAATTCAATAATCTAATTGCCTGACAGATTTTTTCTTGATTTTTCTGTAGTATTGTTTTTGTTTCAATATATTTGATCGCATTAAAAAGATGTTTTATTGGCATTAACGGTACAATGTTTTTAATTTTTTTTATCAACTTATTTGGCTGTGCCAAGTGCTTTTGTTGTACTTTTGGGTGAATTTAATTTCTTGTCCCCGACTTTAACCAAAAACATTATCACACTCCAGGTACTTTTTATGGTTTAAAATTCCTGACATTTCTGAACATATCCGAATTTCTGACTGATTATGAAACAAGTGTTTCACATTCCAGTGTATGCAAGCGCCAATAGTTTGTCAAATCTTGTTTTTTGATCAATTATAAATGCTGTATAAGAAAAGAATAGTTTTGCCTCATACTGTTTTTAGAAATCATTTTTACAGTTCTTTTCCAATTTGAAATTGATCTTTCCATAGCAAATCTGGATATATGTTCAAATTTGATGGTGTATAACCAACATCTGTGATGAAGTAATTTTGGTTAAATGGAAATCAAAAAACCCTTTTTGTAAAATTATTATTTGAACTTTAATTCCAACTAATTCATTAATAGTACTGGATTACCGAACATCTGTCAGAAAAATAATTGTTTGTACATTTATGATTATTTTTGAGATAGCAGCAGATTTCAGTTTCTTTATTAAAGTTACATCCTATGCCATGATCTCCAGAGCACTGCAAAAATACCATTCTCCGAACTACAAGATACATCCTAATTAAATTTGACTAACACTATTTGATGTAATGAAAAACAATATGTCTGACAGTCCACATCCTTGTCTAACGCTTGACATATTGATATTTTTGTAAATTGGACAATTTTGATCATGTATTTGGCAAATATTTTATTTCCGGTCTTCTAACATTGCCAAGATAATATATATTCACTATTTTAACTATTATTTTTATTAATTTTTCATATAAATTGCCTCATGACCGTGTATCTATAATACACTAGAATAGCAATCCTTATTATCGTACTAATTTTGTAAAAGTTAAAATCTTTTTAAGTTCTGTTGGTGCTATCTTAACAGGTGCTTTATAAGTTTATTTCAGTTTCAATTTGAGGACAGCAATCGTGACATGGGTTTAGCCCCTTCCAGCAGTTTCAGGCTGCTTTGTTTGTGACCCATCACCTGAACAAGAAATAAACTACTTGAAATGTTGACTATCCCAGCAATGGTTGTTTCAATCTTTTTCAACCTATTAACAAGTATTTTTTTTCATTCCATGACGCTTGGTTCAAGTTCCCGCTAAGTATTACTAATTTTACAAAATATAATTCCGAATTTGTTCGAAAATTGTGTCTCATATTGCAGTATATTATTTTATACTTTTAATTATTATTTAATGAACGTGCTTTTCATTGTTTCTCCAAAAACCTAATTTCTGTAATATTATCACATGATTAAGATTTATGGAAGTGTATGCTTTGGTGCAATAAATTACCTGACTTAATCAATCCGTTGGTGCAATATTTTGGGATTCAAAGTACATTTTTGATCAATCAAACTTTAAAGCTTTGCCGACGTTTTTAGTGGAAGTCTTTGTATTCGGCAATTATTTTAGTCGGGTCTGCTAACACTCAACTGGCCCCTATTGATAGAGAGTTCGTATGGGCTAGTTAGACTTGTGGGTGAATTGAAATCGAAAGATATAATGACGAAGTAGTTTGGGATACGAAAATCTGTCGATGTTCGGTTATCTACTGGAATATCAACATTCCTTGAAAGTCATTGGATGTGCGCTCTGAAGTAGCAAACTGTTCAGAACTTCTTTATGTGGGAAGCATAATGCATGCTATAGTTTTAAGAGAGATCATATTTGCGAGAATGAAGTTTTGTTGCCTTCCTGAAATCTAATTCACAAAACAGCATGAATAAGCAATGAACGAACAGCTTATTCACACAGTTGGTTAATTTCCTAAGGTGAGAAATAGATTTGGTATGCTATTGCTATGTAGATATAGTTCCCGATTGAGAGATTTATTACCACAAAAACAAAATCAGCACTATTATAAACACAATCCGTCGGGATTTAAATCAAAGATTTGATATGTTTGCCCTTCGACTTTACGAATATTACAAAATTTTGTGTGGTTACTGATTATATGGAGGGGTGGTAGACCAATGCTGTCCATACTTTTGTCAGGGGAATCTTGTGGTCCGGTCACTTCATGGACAAGTTCGTGACATCTATATTAGGTTTGACTTCGACCAATGAGTAGGCTATATATGATCAATGCGTCGACGGACAATATACCTTCTGTACGTAATCGTGTTGCCATGAATATATTACTTTCATTAAGCGAAGTGATCGTGGTAATTTCGGAGCTATGTAATGATATGATTTTAGAATCACGGGTATGGCAACATAAAGCCACAAACAGACAAAATATACAACGCAATGTTTCGTGCATATAACGTAGCCTACGTACCGCTCAAATATATATTGCCCGTAATTACAGACCTGGAGTTGTTATCAGTTTAAAGTTAAGCTTACTATGATCAAATTAGTTATATGTGCGAATTCTTCGATTATGCATTTATCGTTTGTTCAAGCACTTCTCGCCCACTTGATGAAAATGAGTCCTTGTCAGCCTAAGAACTCATTAACGATCTTCGTCCGCAACATACATGCATTGCTTGATTCTTCTGGTAATAAACAATGCGATTGCGTCTGGTCGTTTCGTCGAATAATCACGTTCAGCTGGAGCTGCTAGGTATACATTGCCGTAAGAACGTGGTTGTTCGAGTGTTTCAAATAGTGTTAGAAAACACGGGTTGAGACAAAGTAGATTCAATCCAGATAAAATTCAAAACTTAGAATTAAATATTTATAGATATAAAATAAACTTAACTGGCAAGAACAAAGTAGACCTTGCCTATGTCATCAGGTCTAGTTTTTTTTTTACTTGAACTATCAGGAGGCAAGTCTGACAAGGACCATGAGAATAGAGATATGCAACGGCCAACGACTGAGCTACGCCGCCAGATTCGTATATCATCTGTCTTGTTTATTTTCTCAATCCACTTTCAACCCGCAATTTGGTTAGTAGTTGCCGTAAATTTTTTTCCATTGTGAAATTGGCAGAAAAGTACTTCATAGTCCCTTCTTCACTAAAACCATAGATGTCGGGGTGATATTTGGGGGCTTTTTACGGTGAGTAACAAAGGGCTACAGTGTAGGAGCTGGAGTCGCATTTTCACAATTATAAAATTTGGCATTGTTGGATTTCGATTTTATGAAACCGCTTTACTACCACCAAATAGTTGTAGCCTACCATTTTCAGTTACTTTTTACGCTAAGCCTGAACCAGCGTTGCAGGTGTCGCCACATGAAGACCTATCGAGGCCCCCCGCGACTCCGTTCGCACAATTAACGTCAACTAATTTTTTTTGCACTATTTTTTGGCTAGCTTGGTCACGTATGGGTCTATGTTACGGAACTGTTTATGAACGCAGGCAGAAGCGGTGTCATAACGTCTTTATGTATAAATTCAGATACCGGTATGTTTTTTTTTTATTAAACCCATTTATTGTTGTTTAATCACAGAATTACCGGATTGAAGAGTTCACAGTCAGACAGTGGTGATATCCACATTTTCATTTTTTAATTTGATTTCCATTCTTGAAACAGCAGGTATATTTCTGTGTGTTCGAGGACTATAATAAACTTCAAATTTCAGTGCTTTTTTCTTTTCTGGCCAAAAAACAGTTACAGCTGTAGTCTATGTAAATGGGATATTTGCTTGCTCTCGCTAGATCCTGTACCGTATTCCCCTATTTTTCTACTTGTTATTCTATCACTTTCAAACCTAATTTAGCATAAGTCCAACAAAGATGATCATCTGTATGGTATGTGAGCAAATTAATAAAATTCGATTATTAACATTATCAGTAGTCATATAGGCTATCTGTATATCCAGTATACATGCAGACATCAGACATGTATATCAGTCTGTCAGTAGGCTATATGTTTTTCTTGTATGTCTATTTGCCTCCAAAAAGTTGAACTGATCAGCCATAGTGGAAAAAAAGTCTTGGATCATGATAATCTTAGAGCTGACTTATTATATAATTTTATCCCACTTTATTTGTAATATGGCTTACTTTAATCATAACAAAAAATTTATAATCTGCCGAAGGGAAGCTTTTAATAAGTTATCAAATACTATAATAATTGTATTAACTTCCACAGACCTAATAGTTCATATTCTTATGTCATTATTTGATTTTTCAGAGAAACTATATCTTAGAGGTGACAGTAAAATGGAGGTCAGTTCTGACAGTGAGATGGACTCCATCGAAAACTCACTTCTTAGTCGATTTCAAGCAATGGGAACCACAGATAAGGATGTTCTGATTTCTCAGTTTCAAAGCCTTTTAGGATTTCAGTTAAATCCCGCTGGATGTGCATTTTTTCTTGACATGACGAACTGGAATTTGCAGTCCGCAATTGGAGCATATTATGATTTTGAAGGTGCTCCGCAAAGTAAGTTGCCATCAATGACATTTATACTTGATGTTACAGTCGGTGAGGGCGAGTCCGTACCTCCAAATACAACATTTGTTAAAACATGGCGAGTGCAAAATTCCGGGAAAGAGGAATGGCCACCGGGGTGTAGTCTTCGATTTTTAGGCGGAGAAAAAATGGGAACAATTGATTCAGTTTCAGTTCCAACAGTACCTGCCGGACAAACAACAGACATTTCAATTAATTTAAGAAGTCCGGTGGAACCCGGTGTATATCAAGGGAGATGGAGAATGTATAACACCACAGGGACTCCTTTTGGTGATATTATATGGGTCATAATATCAGTTAAACAAGATGGACTTCTGGACATCACACAACAAATTTCAAGAGTTAGCTGTGACTTTGGGGAGGGTGCTTCGGTTGGGAAGAATGACCAATTTTCATCTCAAAATATGAATTCGATGGAAACCTCACCAGAAGATGACATGGCTTGTGATGATCCTCTGAATGGATTAGACTATTACAATGCAAAATTAAGCCTAAAAACATTATGTCATGCGAAAGCGCTCCTAACAAGTAAAACTAATCAATATTATGGTGCCACCAAGGTATAACAACTTTGATCATAAACTTTTTTATATAATTAATATTTATTTAATTTATTCGGATCCTTCCACTGCAACATCTTGGTTGTGTACAGTTAATTGTAAAAGTAATGTTTATTTAATGTTTTTGTTTTGTATATTTTTTCATAACCAGTTTGTGACTAGGATTTGGATGCTGGACTATTTTTTTCGGGATATCTTGCAACCCTGCATTCATCAGTACTTTTTTTTATGTTGTCTGCTATTTGTATAAAACCCCATTATTTGTATTACTGGTAGTTCTCCATCTGTCAAATCATCACACAAACGCTGATGTGAACTCATTTAACGAGGGTGCAAAATTCACAAATATTACAATGCTCTACAATCCACACCCTCACTCTTTGATTTAAACTTGAATATAATAATCCATATGAAATTGTAAAGGATGCTATTTGTTGTGCTTAATTTTATTAAAGGATCATATTAAAAGTCAGTTTCTCTGTTTGTCACAACTACTCTAACACGCAAGTTATAACTAGGAGTGTGCATGTCTTTTACTCTGTTTTGTAAAAGTTAAATATATTCTGATTTAATAAGGGAGATTAAATTTACTTTTTTACTCGAGGCTAACCCCATATGACAACTCACGTGACCAGTTCAAATTTGCTTGTTGCTGCTTTTTTGTTATGCTTTCACATCTTCAAGTTTTCAAATGCATGGATTTAAATGATGGAACTATAACAACCAACCTATGTGGATTCGAAAATTGTTTCAAATTGAAACAAAATATAGGCTTCCTGCCCATAATCTATGTTGGTTTTTAAATTCATAGCAGAGTGGTGCTGTTTGATGAGTCCATTTCCTTTTCTATATTGGCCCGATCTAAAAAGCGGTAGGCAAAATCAAGTGCTCTGTTCGTTTCCTCTTGATAATCATCATATATTGAAGTTTGGTGCACATGGAATTCATAACTTACCTTTTCTGTCCTCGACCATATTCTTGGTAACATTGTGGTACCCAAATTAAAAACTGAAAATTTGTGTTGTGTTGTTTGATTGGTAATATATTTGTAGGACTTGATTGGCAATGTGCAATTTTTCATTTCAAGAGATTTATGATGTGACACTGGAACTCCATTAATAAATCTAACATTTCTTTGTGAATATTTTTATCAAATTTTAGAAGCTATTGTAAATTTATATTTTTAGACATATTGAAGTATGTTTAGCATAAATTTATTAGATATTTTATCTAATTGGTTTCAAACAATAAATGAAGTCTGCATGAACAACTTATTTTCAAATCAAAATGCGGTTTTTGACGTATTGAAAACTAGATTTGTGATATCTATATTTACCATTTGAATTTCCTATATACAACCATTTTGAAAGAACATTTTAAACTGGATATGTTTCACTGTCCTGTGAATTGCTGAGCTATGGGATTTTCTACTTGTTTAGTACCTATGGGCTTTAACCCATAAATTTCTTGTGATAGGTTCTTAGTATTTTCTTGCACAGTTGTTTTACCGATTCCATACTGGTATATCAAATTTTGGTCTAGCCTTGTATTCTTGACACCATAATATTCGCAAATTTCTACAATGTCTGAAAAATATATAATTACAAGCATTTCACTCTTTTGTATCCTGTGTGTTGGTTAAAATTTAAACAATCATAAACATCTGTGGAAATTGAAGACATTTAGATCTGCTGTCCAATCAAAATATGATCGGAAAGCTATAAAATTGTGAAAAAACTTATCGCTGGAAAAGAATGAAAATAGCGCAAGAAAAATATTGATTCAAATTAGCAATCACAGTATAAGTTAGAGGACATTCTCGCAAAACAAATTAGGAGACAGGCGAAACTTAAATTCCCGAATGGAAGCCAAAGTTTTTTTAAATTCCGAGTCAAATGTATATCTCAACCGACTCCACCTCCTTGGTAGTTAATTACTATAGTCCAAAAATGTTATTGATAATTATCGAAAAATAAATATACCACCTGTACGTTTGTTTGTTCACAACCTCACCTCCGTTCAATGAGGCGGTCTAATAATACACAAGCAGTGTTATCCAATAGGAGAATCTTTGGAAAACGGAGTATTCGAATTTCATCGGACCAAAGAAGTGTTAGTATAAAGTACAGAGTACACACGATGACTAAGCGGTATGGCGTCTCGTGTCGAGCGTTAGAAATACGCTTAAAATCACACCTCTGACAACCCTGCTGCAGCTCGCGGAATCGAATCCCGCTGGGAGATAATCATGCGCGAGAGGATTGCTAGAGATAGACTCCTTGCCGTCGCATGGCGATTGAACGGTTACGGCTTCCACTATCATGATATCGATGCATATGAATCAAATAACTGGCTAACTAATGTAGAATAGGATTGTAGTATTTCTTGAAGTAATCGCGAGGTACGATTCGTGTGAGTTTCAAATAATTTTATGACGCTAGCCTTTTCAGTAACGGGAGAGCGCATTTTAGCAACAACAACAAAAAATTTGGTACTCCTGAAGTATGCGCACCAAGATGTTGCACAACCTGAACCCTAACCTGGTATACAAGCTGAGTTCAGGTTTTGCGTTCAGTAGGTTCAAAATAATTTTGTGTAAAATAAAAAAAACAGATAAACACTTTTAACTCTTTTTTATAGCTTCGTCAAAGGTTTTTACCTCGTTTCCGTATCATCATTGATAATTGTATATGCTGCGTGAATATCATAGTTAATAAATGTTTTCGTTCTGGTATTTCAATATCAAAATAACCTAGAAAAGTGCAGAATATTTCTATTATTTTTTATTTATCTCTTTATCAAAAGATATTGTGACCTGATGACGGAGCAATCTGTGCTTTACAATTCACTCTTGTCATTCGTATATTTTTCAGAAACTTTAATGTTGATTCTTTTGAATGCTCAAATAGGAAAAATTAACTCTGGCTCTAATTTTTAAACTGCCATTTCCTTAATCTGAACCGTTCTAGACGACCTTGTACTGAATGATAGAAGTTATGGTTCAAGTTAAAAAAAAAGAAACTTGCTAAATGTGAATGTGAATTTTTGAACTGTCATTATAACAAATCGAAAATTTCAAATTTCAAATATTCGCTAATCAGTAGTTTCAATATATAAATATTATTTTGAGGAACCGAACGAGACATTGTTTCGACTTGAACGAATAGCTGCGACCAATGACATTAAATGACATTGTTTCATGTCATTGCTGCGACCAACAACTAACGTTGCGACTGTTATGATTAAAATCTGTTCTAAAATAGAGCATGTTTAAAAACACGTGTAAGATTATGAAGACGAATTTTGGAAGTTTTGACTTATTTACCATTTTGAAACCCGATTTGGCCAGTTCAGTGCAACTTCTGGGTGTTTCTGGAATTGGATTTTCCGACGCGTCTGTTTTATTTTCTTATTTGTAGGCTATTTCATCCAATTCTTCGTAAGCAGAGTGTATTCACGAGTCTGAAGCCATTGGTGGCCTCCGTCATTCCTACTGAAACACACGAAATGATGATAAAATGATTACTGTAAATAATAATTATATGTTTTAGCTTGAATTTATGATAGTGTTGTGTTGTAGGTTGGTGTTGATGCGGAAGCGATAGCGCTTATCGTTACTTCATCAGAAACTCACTCAGCCTTTTCAGCCCCACCTCGCAGCGGTAATAACGTTCGTGACTCCATGCGTCGCTATAGCTTTTTGCGGCGATCCTGCAGCGTTTCGTTCGTAGGTACTTGACAATTCGACGTGGGCACGGCAGTAGGCGCAGCCGCCCCGAGACCTCGTTTTATATTACTGTATTACGGTGTACGTTAAAAAGCGTAAGTTCTGATTCTCAAGATCTTTAAACTAAAATTGTAAAGATTACCGGTTATTTACTAATCACAGAATCAGCTTACCAATACTGCAGTAGTCTATACAGTGATAAGATCGTAATTTTCTTATTACAATATTGAGACAAGGGTGCTGTAATTGAGAAGTATGCACGCTTAATGCTCAAGATGCTGTATACGTATATCATTGTTGAATATAGCGTAGGAATCTGATAATTGAATGGCAAATTGGGATCCAATTCAGCAATTTGAGTCAATTTCCTAACACAGTACAGCAGTAACAGCTTCTAGTCAAAAGTTGAGTCCTCTTCATTGAGTCATACAGTCATAAGTCAGTGGGTTGTGTAAATCCCATGAATAGCAGTAAATATGAGTCTGATTAACTAACCTCACACATGCATTGGGGTCAATCTATTTTGTAAATCAAACTGGGTTTCAATCATGTATTGACAACTAGGGCTGGGCATTTTCGAATACCTGATGATTTCAGAATCGAATTGAATATTTTTATCGAATCGAATCTCGAATACTTGGGAGTCAATTATATGCTAATTTTTATTGTAATTGGCTCTGTCAACAAATGTATTACTGAAAACATGAATAAATCACTAAGACAGATTGTGGAGCGTTCACACACAATGAAAAGCACTTATTTATCAATAACTCGATAAGAAAATAGTCATATGTCAGAATTGTATGGAAAATTATGGCTTCAAAAAAAAAATTGGGTAATTCACCTCGACCACTGACGGAAAGAAAGAAAAATAAGATGGCGGCGAATCAAAATTTCGATTGAACCGATTTGAAAATTTACTATTCGAATCGATTCGGATATTCGATTCGAAGTGCCCAGCCCTATTGACAACATTCACATTGCCTTCCAAACTGCCTGTTTTGAGGTATTGTTGCTAGTGCCCGATATGTGAATGCTGCTACAATCTGGGAAAGTTTTGGTTATTTCAATTCAGTAATCTACATATTTTACTGCGGGTTTACTTTCAGACTTTAGGGGTTAGTCAAGTCTTACTGTCTTAGTTCTAGTTAAGTCTTTGCCATCCTAAACTACGTACAATGCTCAGCAATGTTAAAATAGTAGAAAAAGGGACTGCATTATCCATTTATTGAGAATGATTTACTGACACCCTCTTCTGGCTATTGCCAGATTATGCAGTGAACAAACATATCTATCCAGACCAAATTCTTCATGCTATCTATACCGCCATTGTTGTTTGATTCATAAAGGGATGTCTATTGATTGAATAGGGATATCTAAAATATATACTTTGAACAAAGTTCGAAATATTAACATTCAGCAATCAAAAAAGTTATTTTCATTATTGCCTAATTTGCCATTTTTGCTCATGTTATAATTTGACACAAAATACAGAAATAGATCCATTCGGAATTTAAAAGAGTATTGATTGTAAGTGAGCGCAATACAGAATAGCAAGTTTGTCATCAATATTCATTATTTTTTGATTAATGAAGCCATTGTGTGGTCGATTTTCATGCCTCATTAAACCCATTTAAGCAGCTGCCATAGTTTGGAAGGACTGGAATCTTTTCGGGATTGTCCGCCTATTCTGTTATGCCCTGGGTTAGGTGGTGGGCATGATTTCCATGTTATGTATATGGTGGTGTACAAGTTGATAATAATGCATAAGAGCATATTGCGATGCTGCTTTGTACATCGTGATGACATTTTACGCCTTGTGATAATTTAATTTTTCAAGTGCTATTATGGGCTTGTTACATTGTGTATGACAGAAAGGTTCACATTTTTTTTAACTGACTGGCATTATTTATGTTCTGTGAAACATCTGTGATAAAGTTTTGCCAATTTTCAGTTCATTTACAAGTTTCAGAATATTACAAGTAGCCTATTTGACCTGTCCAATATGATACCATTTATTTTTATATTTTCAATGTTTACAGTGTATAGCATGCTTCATTTTTTGTCGTATTAGTATCATATTCATCTCAATACCAATTAAAGTTAATGACTCAATAAGTTGAAATTCCCTGTCAGTAGCTGCCGTTAGACTGCTGGCAAGTGAAATGTCTCATGGAGAACTTGCAGTTCTTGATAACAGGATTGAAAATCAGATGTCAGGTGCTACATTTGACGTTGGTGGATCGGAAGATGAATATCGACCAGACGTTCAAGAACATACTATGTGGATAAATCCAGATCATGGAGCCCTTTTTACAAGGTCAATTGAGTTGGTTTAATAAATTGTTTATTTGATTATGAATATGCACATATATAGGAATTATTTGTAATAACCAATTATTTTTCACTGTGTCTGCATGTATTGGTCATCAATAAAACCTTATCTAGGATTCCTGCTGTTTTGCCAATTAAAATGCCTAATATCTTCTTTAGCTTTACTTTTATGCATTACATATCCTTGTGGATTTTAGGAACATAGATGATCTCGGCAAAATTTCTATCTATACTAATTACTATGTATCCACTGTAAATAAAAATGGCGTGAATAAGAGGGTGTTAAAAAGGAAATATCAACAAAGGATTTTTATTTTATGAATAGCGTTTCTTGGTGTACATATTTGCATTTATGATGTAACAATGTTGCTGTTAAACAACTGTGCTAAATTCGTGCTAGGGAATTGCTGCATATTGCATGAGGTAGTACTATATCGAACATTTGTGAAAATTGTAATCTTTTACCTCAATATATTCCAACTTTCAGACGATTTGCCAAATTGCATGTCATAGCTCCTCAAAATATCTCGGAATATGCCAACCTTATGAACATCCACCCACCCTAAAATCATGGGGCAGACACCTTTACCAAAATATTCTAAACTTATGGAATTTGACATTGACATATAATATGCTAATTGGCAACGCTGGTCTAATATACTTTTCATGCACTTCTAACCAATGGGTTCAATGAAGCGATGTTGCCATGTTGATTTGCTAATCTGATAAAGCCAATCCTGAATTCACATTAGTAATTATTAAACGATTTGTAAATTCTTTTCAAGCAATTTATTGTATCTACTTTTTCTGTTCCATGTCATTTATTGACATAGTGCATTCCTACCCATACAGTATTATGTCGTCAGTATTTCAAGCGATAAAGAAACAGCATTTGGATCATTTCAACTCCCTATAGATCTATTTTCACTCATGTTAATCTTGTGGTTCAATGTCTTATCATCACCTGGTATGTCTCATTGCCTGAACCATAATTAAAAACAGCAATTGCATAACATTAGTATTTCCACAGGGATGTGTACAGAGATCCACATAATGATGAATGACTCTTAGCATGCGCATAAACGTTACCATTTGTATATTTGCTGTATTACTGATTCATTTTTATTAAGCAGTGGTTCCCAATTGTGTGTCGCGGCGCATTAGGGATAATTTTCGAATGGGTCACAAAATACTCATCTAATTTCCAAAATTTTTTTATCTGTCTGTATTTGAAACTTGACATAAAATGATAAAATTTTCAAGAAAATAGTACTGCTAACTATATCGGACATTCAGCTGCGATATATGATCGTTTATGTGCACAAAAATAAACTCACATAATGTAAGGATTATTGAATGTTTACAAATAGAAACTTTTTTTGTCTTAGTTGTTGATAGAGTGAAATTTTTTTTTCAATGTGGTTTGTATTGTTGAAATGTGTTTCGAGTTTGAAGTGTTTGAGAACCTATTATACAAAGTGACAATCTTTGTGGATATGACCATTTTTGTATGAATACTTCATATTCAAGTGTTGGAGTAGATAAAAAAAACCTTGTGGTAAAACAGGCAAACATCATTGTTAAAATTCTGATGCTAAATTTATTTTGTGCATAATCAATGCCCACAGTCTTTACTGTGTATAAGCCATTTGTAGCCATTTATAAGCTTGTTACACGACGCAGATTTAATTACAGCAGAAAAAGTGTGTGAATATCTTATATGAAGTTCTAATTAACAATATAAATTTTTAAATTTATATAAAAGTATGTGTATAAATATCATAGTTTAAAGAGTTTGACAGCTCAACAATGAGCTAAAATTTTATGAAACAGTAATTCTATCTTTTCGTTTAATAAGGTATATTTGGAATATGTAAATATTAAATTTTAAAGTGCAATCATTAAAAGTGACTTTGCAAATATACTTTATATTTCTTTAAATTGAAATATGTATCGTATGTAACTTGGCGATAACTTTTGGGGATATGAGCCTGCTATTCTGTTATTGATCATCTTTAAATGATTTATAGAATATATAATCCTAATGATTTTGGGTGGATGTTTCGGCTAGAGAATTGATTCGTAAAGAACAACTGCGAAAATCCAATTACAATATGAGGAAATTCTGTGGGTTTTAAAACTTTACCGAGTATTCTGAAACAAGTAAAGATCAATTTGGGCAGAGCCACTTTGAAAAACCATTTCACTTCAGGGAGCAAGTTTCATGGTTTCAGCAGAATATACATTTTGTTTAAACTTATCGCCATGATAATGAAGTCGCTATTTTAGGGTTCTTAAACTTTCATGATCAGATCCATGACCAGTTATTTATTCGCCATGTTAACACCACAATGCCAACAAATGAGAGAATGAACGCATTACGTAAAATAATTAGACAAATCACAGTTAATCTACAATAAATCAATTTAGTAATTGCTAATACTACCTAACCTAAACGTGCTTCAATCGTGGCCCCCAATAGGAATGAGGGCCCAGATTTAGAAACCCTCGGTTAGCTATTGTCGCGAAAATGATAGATAACTACTCGACTAGCAACATGTCATAATCTAAATTTTCTTATTGATACATTGATAACTAATAATAATATACCATTTTTCAACAGAGTTGATTCTGCGGATTTAATTTTCAATCAAAGAAAACAAGCAAAAATTTATGGAAAATATTTATTCGGTGATATGCTTGGTGAAGGATCATATGGAAAAGTGAAAGAAGTCCTGGACACGGAAACTCTATGTAGAAGGGCAGTGAAGATCGTCAAGAAACGAAAGCTGAAAAGAATTCCAAATGGAGAAGCGAACGTAAAAAAGTAAGTTGAATTTATTTTTTTCAAATTCTTTCTGCATACATATTATTTAATTAACTGATGAATTTCAGAGCAGTTATGTGGAATTCATCTTGTCATGGCTGTTTTTATGATCGTATTGACATGAAATGTTTAACTTTCGTTTTAATCGATGTTTACCAATGTACAATAATACACCATAATTCTTTCTACTGGGAGTCTCAGTAGCTCTTGGCATTTTAGTGGTCGACATTATCTTCGCTTACAGACTAAACTCTTCGATTTCTGCGGTTGTGCGTGTGACTTTGCTTTGAGCAAATTTCAAGAAAATCAATTGAAATTTAAAAAAAGGATAATATCATGTTTTAGTTGTATTTATCGACAATATATTCACTTGTTAGACTTTTAGGTCAAGTCGTTTTTATAACCTTCTCTAAGTTCTTTCTTTTAATGAAAAATGACATATTATGTTTATACTTTTGAAATAAATTGGAATATCTATATAATTATTTTAGCATTAAAATTTGAATTGGCCAATCTTCTGTTATGTTGTTATTTTGTATCCTGAACCTATTTGCTTTTGTTCGCAAACGCCTGTTTGTTTTGTTCATGTCTTGTATCCGCAAATATTTACTCCTCTTGGTAAATTCAGTGCCGGTAATTTAACATGGGCAAATATTTTTGCTGCTAAATAAAATTGATTTGTTATTATGTGGAATGTGAATTTGAGCGTTTGCGGCTTCGTGGACCTATAATTGATTACAGACATAGTACATAATTGAGCCTACCTACCGGTAAATATTTTTAAAATAGGGTATTGAATTCGGAAAGATAAATTACTGACACATTCAAAGTGCACCCAACAGGACGACCCTGTTCGAAGCGAAATATGTGAATAATTGTCGTATAAAAGATTTAAAAATGAAGAAATTTTCTGTTCTTCCACATTTGTATGGAAAACGGGTCGAAAAACATGCCGCTTCAATATAACATAAGAAACTACTGTCTTTTTGTGAAGTTTATCGTTTTCATGGTTCAGGAGAGCTCATTCAATTTATTATGCCATGGATGAGATGGTTGGCATGAATAGACCACCGAATGGGTCGGTGCTCAAATCAGAAATCTATCACCTGCATTTTTAACAATAGTTGGAATGTATGAACCATTAAACCATTAACTGTTGTGTATTACCAAATATCAAAAATGAATAACACCAAAATTTTCATTTTGAAGGGAAATAGAGCTCTTGCACAAACTACATCACAAAAACGTTATTGAACTTGTCGAAGTTATGTACAACAAGGAAAAACAAAAGTTATACATGGTCATGGAATTCTGTGTTGCAAACGTACAAGAAATGCTTGACAGCGCACCACAAAAGAAATTCCCTGTCTGGCAAAGCCACAAGTATGTTGATTGAATTCCTTTGAATCTGTGTTAGATAAATCGCATGCTGTTAACAGTGTGAAAAAATTATGTATTGCATCTTCAATCAAGTGATTTATCGTTAATATTTTTGGATTGGTAGGAAACTAGTTGTCTTTCTGGCTTGAGTAGATCAATTTTCTATCATTTTTCATTGAAATTTGGATAAACTTATTTGTTCAAAGCCACACAAGCCGCAGACAGAATAACAGTTCTTTAAAATATTCAAAATTAGCAAATGTTATAATTTCACTACAAGAGTCGACATTTCCAATTTAGAATTCAGGGCTTTTATAATAAGATCTTTCAATATATGGAATGTTTCAGTATGCCAAAAATCAGGTTTTTCAACTTATGATATCACAATTAGCCTAAAAACCTGCTACCAATTAACCAGGTAAAAAACCTGCCTAGATAATGGTATCATATTGTAAGAAGTATAAGGTGTTTTACCTGGTTTTAAGCTTTTTATATGAAAACATGAATGACATAACGCATGTGTTATTCTAAACCTTTTTTTGGTATTTGGTAAGATTAGATTTATTTTGTTTTGTTCGTACTACGCCATTCATTCATATGGAAAATAAGAATAAATTTTATGACTTAATAATCATATTCACCTTACTGTATATATCTAGAAAGCTGTTTTAAGACAAACCAAGATAGTAACGGAATATTATTATTTCTTCATTTTGAAAATCCCAGCTATATTTGGTGCTGTTTATTGTATTCAACAAAGGTCAAAATTCATTTGTTACACTTCGGTCACATATTTCGGTATTACCCATACATTTCAGATAGAGATAGAAGAAGTATTTAGTACCTTGTTACTCAAAGCAACAGTGTGAAATATATAAATTTGATTAACAGATGTACATTTAATGTTATGTACTGGGTCTAAAGTTTCGAGTTTAAAAGTTTAATTGCGTGATAATTATCTCACCAATGCAGAAAATGACTTGCACTATTAACTTTTTAATATCGGTAGCTGCAATTGTAATATATGGGGTATGGCCATCCGGTTTTGCTCATTTCGTCTTATCATTTTCAATTTGCTGGAATATGTTTGAAATGAACTCTTTTTCAGTTTCATCATACTTCTGTCTGTTCCCATTTTGTATATGCCCCATTGATTGAGTAGGTAATTCATCAATGGTTTATTTTGACAGAATAATGATTGCACACTGATAACTTACTGCACTGGGACTTGAATAACAAATTAGAAATTTAATTACTGGTACATTTGTATTTACTGATATGTGTAATTGATTTTTGAATATTTATAACAAGTTACAACTCCATTTAGAGAAACAAAATTTGAGCCCATGAAGTGGTTATCCAATATCTCTGTTCTACTTAACTGTTAAACCTAAAAATCAATAAATATTTTTAATATTTTCCTCTTTCAAATATGTATTGATTGCATGCAAGTGCCTGGATTCAAATTTTATCCTTCCTCATTAGTATCAAGTCTTGCATCACCAAAGTGTTATTCTCATAAGGGAAATTAATTAGTTACATTTGATTGGTCATGACTAAATTGGCTTCATTAATTTTTTATGTTCTATCTGCTGATTCGATTAGAGGAGTGATAAAAGAAATAATTACTTGTGTGTACCAGGGTGTAATGATTATTGTGTTAAACTCATCACTGGGGTCACCTAGCCGAGGTTCAAAGTGATTTGAGCTGGTTTAGTTCATTTCAGTTCACGACTGAAATCTGTGGATTCAACTTTGTAGAAATATCAAATCTGAAATTTCAATCACTCCAAAATTTGAAATACCCAGTAACCTTGAATTTAAACTTGTTGCAACACCAATCGTAATTGATCTGGTCTAGATTAATACGTCATGAATTTTCCTAAATGTTTTCATTTTTTTTCTAAATGTAAAGATTGTGCATGCATTTGCAACTTGTTTTTGGAAAATCATTGATAGTTCAAATTTAAATTCCACATCCCAGCAATACTTTTTGAAGAGATTTGTTTTGACTTTATTCCAAAATTTTTCTATTCAACGAAACATACTCTGTCCCTGCTACTTATCGTACTCAGTCTGTTCAAAGCACCATTAATCTATTACTGTATTCTCAAAGCTATATTTGTGGTGCATACGTGATCAATACCATATACCTGTTCTATATTGGCATGAAGTTGTAATGATTTTGTTTAAATTCTAACTCTAGTAATTTGCATTCAGCTTTTAGCTAGATATCATAATCTACCAAAGGTAGCAGTTGGGTATATCAGTGAAAATTATGAAATAATGAATCTCAAAACACTAATTGTCAAAATGAGATTTAGAATCCTGCAATTTTCGGTATTATATAAAAATATATCTCTCATCAGTCTCATATATTCTGGTAGTTGCAATTTTCACCTTTAAAAACAAACGTTCAACTTAATCAATCAAAAGTTGGTTTTGGAAAATTAGGTTAAAACCCACTGTTGTATTTAAACTTGTACCACTTTGAGAGAGAGAGATCTGAAAAAATAAGAATATCATACCAATAACAACAACACAGACAGACCCTGAACTCGTAAAGAACTAAAATAAGGAAAATCTGAATAAAATTATGGCCTAACCCTAACCTGGTACACATACTACGGGAGTACCCATTTTTGACATTCACACTTTTATCGTGGAACTCCCAAACTGATAAATTATGCCTATTAACACCTACGGTACCTATAAGTGCCTAAACTCATGGTATTTGAGTACCATGATGCGATAGAGATAAGGTGTGACCTTTAAAAATGTTATCGTTTTTATTTACCATTATACAAGAATTTCATATAAAAATAATGGTATTCCGTAGTTTCCTTCTTTATTCAATTCTTTTTTTTTACTTTCAGCTATTTCTGTCAACTTATCATTGGTTTGAGTTATTTGCACAGTCAGCATATTGTACATAAAGATATCAAGCCTGGAAATCTATTGATCGCCTGTGATTCTACATTAAAGATATCAGATTTAGGAGTCGCAGAAGTATGTATATGATAGCAATATCAATGTTTATTTTGTTGGTTGTGGTTGGATAATCGGATAAAATATGTAGCCTATGGAATGTAGAAACTGTGATGAACTGATGTTTTAAATGTGGAATGTGGTAAAGCTTAGTTTACATATGAGGAAAGCTAATAGAACAGCTTTAATAATGTGGAAAGCTGCCGCTTTTTGTACCATTGCCAATTCAGGTTAAAAATGAGAGCTTTTATTGTTTTGTCATCATCACCTGCTTTTTTGGCAATTGCATCTTGCATGTAATGAACATAGATACAAGATGTTATTAGGTTAAGCACAACTAAGTATTTAGATCGCTACGATTTTTCAGAATTTTCAGAAGTTTTGCTATGGCCACTGCTATCTATGCGGTCATAGCGGGGCTTGTACTCTCCGTACAGCCTATGCTTATTCCAGATATAAATTAGTGTATTTAGCCAGACTCTCGAAATAAAATTACTTTACTTGTTATTTTTGTACATACCAGAGTTGGAAGTTAATAAATTGTAAAGGCTGTATTATTGTTCATTATCCTTATTTTCTACTCAGACTGGGCCTCAATCCGTTTTGCATAACCGGGCGTCGCTATTTATTCAATCAGCTATTTTTCATTTCAATAAATTTCAGGCCCTGAATATGTTCTCACAAGATGATAAGTGTCGGACTTCTCAAGGTTCTCCGGCATTTCAACCTCCTGAAATTGCAAACGGACACGAATTTTTTCCTGGTTTTAAAGTCGATATATGGTCAAGTGGTGTCACACTGTAAGTATATATTTTAATGTAGTGGTATTCGTGTTAAAGTTGGAATACCTCATGTCTTAGCATCACAATTATGCAATCATTAGCAGTGTTTGTGGTCAGAAATGCCATATATAGTACAGATGTACTTATATATTAGGTACCGGTAGTTTATTTACAAAAGTACTGTTTTACAATAAACATTGCAAAGATAAACATATTTCCAAAAACATGGGATTCCCCCATGCACTACATTGGACAACATGCAACTTCTGGTAATTAATTTTATTTATTTTTCTCCCTTCGATTCTATACGATCATACAAAAAATGTGGTTCGAATCCTATCTCCCAATTTAATTATTATCATTCCAATGGGATTTTAAATCTGAGGGGTGGTTTAGAATTGATTTACTACTCATATTTAAATCTTTCTTTGTCTTCTATGGCCCGATGTATGAATTATATAGTTACAGTTCTATAATGTTATTGCAGTATGTATTTAATAATTGGTAAATTGGCTACATTGGTTGCTCTCCTGTGTCACAGATATTATGAATATGGAATACCATATGGAGTTGTTTACCATATGGAGATGTTTAATTAGTTTTTTGCACTTTCATTTATTTTAATTATCTTTATTATCATTCAGTATTTATTCATTATTCATCATCCATTAATTATCATTATCTAATTTCATCCAAGTGCATCCATCTGTGCCCTGTCTAAGGCAATCATTGATTTTTACCCAGTTATGCCTTATTAAACTTTTTTATTTTTTATATGATGTCTGAAATACTGTATATTATGTGGTTAATTAGACATTCTTCACAACTCAACGTTTTTTTTCAACACATTACGATATGACATACATGTTTTTGCACTGTACCATTGTTGAAAGATTGTACCTATTGCTTAGATAAATATTCTCACATTGTTTCAAAGTTTTGTGCCCCTAGAAATCCTAATAATCATTTGCTCATCTTTTGTTTTTTTTTCCTCAGGTATAATTTTTGCACTGGATTGTATCCTTATGAAGGCAACAACATTTATCAATTGTTTGAAAATATAAGTAAAGGATCGTACACAATACCTGATGAATGCGATGAACATCTTCAAACAGTATTGCATGGGATGTTAGAATACGATGCTTATAAAAGATTCGATGTCAATGATATTATGGCAACAGAGTACGTTTATATTCAACTAGTTAGCAAGGGTGGTTATTAGTTTAGGTTGTCAGAAATACAGTTAGGATCGGATTTTTCATATTTAACCTGGGGGAGAGGAAAGTCGATAAGATGGCTTAATCAGTCGACCTGTCATTATTAATTAATGTCCTTAATGTATTGTATTATTATATCATTTAGGATAACAAATTTTGTTTATTCTTACGCTGGCTTATTTATAATTCTATAGCTGAAAATGATATAACAAATGTATGAACATTGGCCATTTTCTTTGCCCAAAATTCGTTTGTGTATTACTAATATTGCCAAGTTAATTGCTTTACGTAATTTCAACTTTCACCATTCATTTAGTTTTTAACTTGTAACAATTCAATTCCATTTTGACATTGATCAAAAGAATCATTAAAAATATCACTCCTATTTACTATTTTTCATTAGATGGTTTCGAAGGAAACATCCTCGATTAAAACCTGCGATTCCGGTTCCCGCTCATGCTGAAAGTCAAGATCCACACCGAGGAATGACTGTTATACCTTATATTGAGGTCTGAATCACATTTATGATTTTTACCATAAATTTAGTTTGGCATCGTTCCTATTAAATCTTACAGAATAAAATTTGGAAAATGACAAGATTTTGCCCTGAAATAAATTGAAAGATTTAGACTATTGAGAACCAAATATATTATCGAGGGTTTGACACAAAAGGGCGAATTCTTGAATTTAAAAAAAAAACCAAAATTGCAATTTAGGCTGGTATCTAATCATAGTTTGGAGCAACATTTCCGAAAGTATTTCAATAAAAAGTACATTTTCAAAAGTACAATAATAACATACATTTTCCCCATTTTATCGAAACAGTCTTTTCAAGTTTCGTTCTTTTTGGTTGAAGCCTTCCTTATTTAAAATTAAACGTAATAGCATACCAAAGTTTTTAAAAACCAAGCTATTTCAGTTTTTATACCCATTCTGTATAAATTTGTGGCTGCTTGTCCAGAGCCCTGTGTAGAGAAATCATGACAAAACACCCATTAACTGTAATGTACTAAATTTGTTTTTGATTTTATATAAATAATTGGTTTTCTTTATATACAGGATCTCCATGGTTACTTGAATGACAATGGATCCAATTGCTCCATGCAGGAGTCTGAAGATATTTTTCAAACTGATCTTGATCTTCGTCATCTCAGTAATCAACTGTTACTGAATGATGATCAGTTTTTAGAAGGTAAAAAAACTATATACTAATGCTGTACTGCAATCTGCAAGGTAGACCTGGTTTAGGGTCCAGCAGGGGTGGCCAAACTGAATAATATAGTATTCTGAATATGTTCTAAAATGGTATTTTTTGAATATGAAACATTGAATGTATCTCGAATTTGGTCATTTTCAAACAATGATACATTAAAGACGATGTAGATTCAATGAGAGAAATTTGTGATGAAAATTATTTGATTTATTTCCCGATTCTTTTACAGTTTCCATAAATTGGAGGTTTTTTGATCGCACTGCTGAAAATAAAAAATGTGTAAAATGAAACTATTCTAAATATTTCCTAAGTTTTCTTTTATAAAATGACTTTTATAGTTTTGAATATATATGAACAGAACTATAACACTATAATAAGCAATTTTGATTAGCTAATAATCATTAGCCGGTCGAGAAAGTGTGCGTTTAAGGATGCCGATATGAAAATTCTGGAAAGACCGGACCCAAATAATTTTGAATTTTTGTATGCGGATCTTTGGGGAAAATAGTTGAGTAGCCCTGCTATACTCCATTGTGCTGACTACTGAGGCACGATTAGTATGACTGGATTATTGTTTGAATCGGACCATTGTTATACCAATTCAAAATCTGACTTGATCGGAGTATATTGTAAAATTATAAGTAACTTTACCTAGCTTTAGTCATTTTTGGTGAAATGAATCAATCTGACTCAAGTCATTAATGTAGCTTTAATGTAAACATGATTTTGATTTGCACGGTTATTTGGATGGTTTTTATATTAGTGCCATGGTTATATAACCATTGTATGACCTTTGACCGTGAGTACTTGGCTCAGCTTTTACTCTGACTGACTTCACTCAAGTGAGAATGATAGGTTGAGTTGATACTTCGAATCAATAGAAATGAACTACCTTAAATTCAGGTCATTGTTATTTTGATGTTGAAATAATATGAAATTTTTAATTTTTCTATTTTTTTAATATTAATGAACAATATAAATATATGTATTTTAATAACTGAATAGAATTTATAGCAACAAAATTTTAAAATCATGTTCCTTGAATTTGACTGAATATTAATAATGAGAGAATATGTTTCTGATATTCAGGTGCTTCTCAAAGTAACAATGGATCAGTGCAACACGATCCCCATTTTCAAGATGAAAACGAAACACATTCCTCTGGGGTTGTATTAAGACATCATCACCATCAAGGTGATGTATCTTCTCAGCACAATCACAGTCGGGCAGAATCTACAAATGTACATTCAAATAGCGAACATTCTGACCTTCCAGCGTCCAGTGCATCCGGTGCCAAGAAAAATAAATCAGAAACAAACGAAAAATGTTCTTCTAAAAGCGGGAGTCACAATGCAGTCAATGAAAAAACGCATGGAAAATCCAATAAGCGAATTAAGTCAATGTGTAATATTACTTAATATGATTTTTTTTACTTAATATTTTAAAAAAATAGAATGTTTCAACATGAAATTTCAAGTTAATATCGTTTTTGTCCGCTTCAAAAGTTTTGTTAACTTTGTACTTACTGAGTATTTGTATTATTGTGTTTCCCAAACTGAATATCACAGCTATGGATGTGACCAACAACAGATTTATCGCTTAAAACATATTCCACACAAAAAAAGATAAAAAGTTTTATCTTGATAAACTCAGTCAGTCAAGTCGTTTTTTAAATCTTATTCATCACAGTATCAAATATGTTTTTGGGTCGTGCCATAAATTTTTGGGGAACCACTGTACTAGACAATATGTTAGTGATTTCATCAACTTTCGACCATTGTTTAGAAAATTATTTCTTTGTCTACTTGAGTATTGCTAGTTCAATATTTATTATTCATATTTACAATAATGAATACCATTATTATTATTGGTATTATTCATAATAACAATAAATGCCAGATTTATTATTGTTAGGTATTCCTGCCATTATAATTTGGGTTTAGTTGATCAAGTATGTTATCTCGACACGATAATAAGATGATTCCCACTAGCAACTTTACCTTCATGTCACACTGTGGCAGAATCGAAGACGTTTTTGAAATTTTCTCAGTATCAAGTTCTATGAATATTAGTATCAGTAAAACACCTATATTACGGCCACTTTGTATGTACATTTACTGTTTTGATATCAAGCCTTAAAACCAGACATATTCATATACAAATGTAGAATTCTTGCATTTATGGAGTAAAACTTGACCTAACCATTATTGCATTGAAAAAATAATGAGGTATACCAGAAACGCAGGTTACACTTCTCTGATTAAAGTCTCATGCCCACCAACTTACCCAGGATGTAATAAATTGGTTAGGCATTGGTGAACTGGAAATTCCTTGTCCATCCAGAATTAGTAGCTCTTTATGTATCACTGCCGCTTGTTATAGGGCCTACGATAGGTGTGATTGGAGTCAGATAAAAATGTCTATTATGTTTTATTATCCCAATCAAAACATGTTTTGAATAGCATCAATTCAAACATTTTCTTTGGACTTACCTATATTCAATAACATGGTGATCATAAATCTGAAGTGGCTCAAAGTGAAAATACTGTCGGTACACAATACTCTGTAACATTTTTGTGGTGTTTCAAAAACGCGAATTCTTTTTCATTGTGTCATGTTTTACTGCTTTTTCTTTCCTGCTTACTTATTTGTTCGTTGTATTGCGCACTGTTATCTGTAATTGCAAAACTTTTTTATGTTCCGTCTGTTATTTTGTAATTGTCAAACTGGGCAAGGTGTGCTTCCGTTTTTTGCTGGTAGACATGGGAATTTTTTTTTTCAAATGCTTTTTTCCAAAAGTATTTTTAACTTGAAGAATTAGGTACAAAAGATTCAATTCTCAATTGCGTTTTTGATTATCTGTTGATGGCCACCTTCTGGGTCAAAAAACTGTTGGTTGGCCGCAGCTATTCTGCAAAATCCCCAACATACAGCTGTGAATAGCAAATTAAATACCGGTAATTGGAATAAATTACTGTATAACATTTTGTGTGTACACTGTAAAGATTAATAAAGCAACTGCCATTTGCAGTAATAGTTTTGTATACTACCCTAGTCAAGAATTAAGGTCAATAGTCAATTTTTATGCTATTTGGGGGTTTACATATCCACTGCCCATGACACATCTATCAGCATATTTGGATTTCAATAGCTTTGTACAATGCTTACTAGGTTTATATCCTACGATTCTAAACAGTTTCTTCTGTTTGTAATGTGAAAAAACAATTCAGTTCGGTCTCTATATATTGTTTAATATAGTTTGATGGGACTACTCTTATGGGTGGGAATAAATAGCTTGATATTCATGAAGTTCGAAGCACTTTTAAATTAAATAATTATGCAACAAAATGGTGATTTTTGTTATAATTTGACGAAATTCGCAGATTTTTGCTGAATTGGACGCTGATTTCTTTTTAGTGAAACTGCATTTTTGTTGGTGCGTCTGTCGGATGAAGACAATTATATGAGTCATAATATTTCGGTCTGGGAGTCATGCTACTCACTGGTACTATTTGCTTCCACGCCATGAAAAATATTATTAGTCTGTAAGTAGGTTGAAATTGTAATTGTTGGAAATGTTTTGCTTCTATTTTTAGCACTTTACTGCTTCATTTTCAAATACAACATTGATACAAATGATTGAGACTTTGTGATAAATTCACCAGGGTGATATAGATTTTGTGACGGAACAATGCCAACTTCGAGTTCTCATGGGGAAACGTGGTGGGTCAATTACCTAATAGTACAAGATGGTTCAATGCACGGCTTTAAGCGGTGGTATAGCATTTCAAAATCTTGCTTTGACGCATTTATTGTGTATGATATGTCATTCTTACCATATATCTGATAATTATTTGTGCGTTTCAGAGTTCACCAATCTGAAGTCGATCAATTACGCTAGCCTACTCTCTTAACTCCGTGGAACGCTTAACTCCGTGGAACGCTTACCGTAATTTATTTCAAGTTTTCGGTTCCAATTTTGCTTTCGTCTTACGTCTTATTTACGCTGTTTTTTTCGTATCTCACCACTACACCGTGTTTCCCCGAAAATAAAACTTATAAGGGTCTTATTTAAATTTTCTTCCGAAAAATGGGGGCCTCTTTTCTGGGAATGTCTTGTATTTTCATTTATCAAAAACAAAATTAAAACCTAGAGAATTACGCGATTTTTAAACTACAAAATATGAAAACCGATATCCATTTACTTATAAATAACACGTTCTCATTCAAAATAGCTGCAAAATATAGATTGTTATCAATGATTCAAAACGTGTAGGAGAGATTTCTTGCTATCAAATAGGTCCACAAAAATTTCCGCGTTGTTGACTAGGTCCTGTTTCAAGGGGAGGGTTTGTATTAATTAATATCAGGCTAGGTCTTATTTTCAGAGTAGGTCCTATATTCGGGGGGAGGCGATATTTTCCGACTGAGATCTCCCTGTTACGAAGAGTATTCTGGCGATGTCAACCGTCGATCTTCAATATATCACACACGATGCAATGGTCAACTGTAAACTGTTGCCTCCGACGCCTCAACTAGCAATATTTTCGCAGACTATGCCGAAGGATTCCAATCCTACCCAAATAGCAGCTTGTTTTGAGCGCCTCGCTTTGATCGGATGCATTGTAGCGTATGTGGGATACATGGTTCCATTACATTTGAACCCACGTACATTTGAACCCATGACAATTGCACCTGTATGCTATTGCACCTATGGAATTTTTTTTTGTTTCACGGATAGTCAAACCCATACTAACCCTAACCCGTGAGTTTTAGCACCCGCATATAGATTGAACCCGTGGAATATACGCATGGGTTCAAATGTACATGGGTTCAAATGTACGGTCACCGGGATACATATGTGCGTGTCGATTGGATTGTCATTTCTATATGCAAACGCAAATGATATTCAGTATTTCGCTTGGAGAGTCGTCTATTAAACGATCTTTTAACACTTTTCCATGAGGTAACTTGGACCGAAATGCCAATCTCAATGCAAGGTCAAAAAGAACCAGCTTTTTTAACAACAGAAAATGTGAAATGATTTATGTTACCAATATCAAAGCAAGGTAGATATGATTGAATATGCTTCCTATCTCTATTTAATGTCAACAAAGTATTACCCGTACCCCAAAACTACAATATATTTTCGTTAAAACTACTCTTAGCGATTTTCTTGTTTATGGTATATATACTGTATATACATATAAATATTTTTTCAATTTGATTTTGCGTGAAACAAAAATACGAGAGTTGTTTGCCATACGCATATATTATTTTGCTAGCAAATGAGATAAAATAATATATTATTGATTTGAAACGTTATTTCCTCGACAAAATTAATTTCATTTTCTCTGTCAATATTATGTTGGCTCACGGAACATTGCCGAGAGGAAAACGCGTCACAGCAGAAACCACCTAATAGGAACCAAAGAATCCAAGAGTACGTGGGGAATACCCACTTCCTCGAAAACAACAATTTCACTCAATGGTGTGTATGCTTGAGCCATCTTTACCTCAAGTACACGGAGAATTATATTGCTAATTCTATGTCCCATATAAAAAAAATAGTACACTAATGAAACTTGCGCGAAAATGAAAATGTTTGAAAATGACTGTTATATCTGGCAACCTTCAAGAATATTATAAAATTTCTATTGATTTTAATTGTTACGTCATCATGTTATAGTTTAAAAGATAGTGACGTATTAATGGCGTAATCTCTCTTGTTGCTTGAAACAGACGAGCGCGCGGAAAGATCGCATATAACTGTATTATCGACAACTTTAGCTTATCAAAGAGTTATCTCAGGTAAGGGTGTTCGCGATACAGCCGTCGGACAATATGGATGAGTCGCAACCTGAGACAAGCGAGAATCCAGCGCCGGAGGAATCTCAACCAGTGAGTACGCCGGCCTAACGTTAACATTAACATAAATTTAAACGAGAGAAGTTTTCGGGTACTCCTGCAGTATGCGCACCAAGATGTCGCATATCCTGAACCCTAACCTGGTACACAACCTGATTTCAGGTTGTGCGCCATCTTGGTGCGCATACTTCAGGAGGTCCAGTTTTCGTCATTCGAAATTGTGATTTGAATGTAGACTATTACCCTGAGCAGAAATCCACCTTTACATATTTGTTTATGTACCAATATATTATTAAAAAAGACAATTTCACGATTTGTTTTTGCAATAAATGAAAATATACTTTGATGAATGGTGAACACAGGAACATGAGCCAAATTTAATTATGATATTTTGTTGGGTTGCCAGAATCCTTCTCAATGCTAAGGAACCTGTAGGTGCCATCACACAGATGTAGGTAAACAGGCCCCAAAGCTTGCAGTGTTTAGTATTTGGTAACGTTAACTATAACTTAGAGTCTTAGACTGATTCTTCAATCACCAAGTTTTCACTAACATTCGGAATAAATTTCAATTAGATCAATCATTATTTGCTCTTCTGCCCAAAATATGACAACACTCAAAACACGTTATGTCATAATTTTTCAACTAATTGTACTTTGTAGCCAACTGACTGTAGACATCAGAGATATAAAAAAACACTCGCATCACATAGTTTGAAGTAACGTTACTTCATGAGTCATTTTTTCAATTGCCCAACTTATTATCAAATAGGCCAATTCACTTTCAAACTCTCGGTCTGGGTGCTACTGTTAGGAAAATATATATGTAACATTTACTTTAAAATACAATCCAATTATACAGCTCGATGCCGAAGCAATACAGATAGAAGAGAAAACAGAAGATGAGCCCACTGGTGAAGAAGAAGAGCCAGCAGATGGGGATAAAGGTCAATAAGAGTCATTCTCATAAGAGAATCGTATTCGTCTTGAAATTAATAAGCCATTTCTCTACTCAATCGATAGTGTTTGATGATCTAGGATTCTAGGTGGATAGTCCAATCCTGCATTTTGCTAGATTCTCTTTTGGAGATGATGTGTTTTCTGAATTTTTATATTAAAAAATATGAATAAACTTTTTGTTTCTTTGTCAATACTGTTTTTCATGATTTTAGAGGAGACAACTAAAGATATTCTCATGGAATATGCACCTTGGTTACTTGCAGCTGGAATTGGATTTTTACTTCTCATTATAGCAGGTTATATGAAATCACTATATTCAAATTTTCCATTTTATTCTACCTTTCTATTTATAAACATGTTTCTATGAATCCTTTTCAATGAGCCATACGTAAATAACATAATAGAATTTAGAGTTTTATATTTATTATTGCTCATGCTCCAGTACTATTACATCTGTAGTTTTGTCTGTGTCTTAAAGTAGAAGCTGTTGTCTTGTTTATTGGTTGTAAGTCCTATATGAATTTGCCATGTGTCATCCACAAATATGCTCTGCACTGGTTTTACTTACCGTAAATACTTGTTTTTAGTTGCTTTGCTGGCAAGTGCAGGAGCTGGACCTTTTGTATTTCCTTACAATCCACAATATTTCAATGTACCTCATTACCAAGGCTCAATGCGTGTTCTCTCTGTTGATGATCAACCTTTGAAATACATTAACGACATGAGATATATAGGAAGCAGGGTTTCAACTAGTCTTCGATACAAAATAGAACCAAAAGTATGAATTAAGTTGAGAATTCTGCATTTAGTTAGGGTTTGTCTGAACACTTTGTGAATTTTTTTAGTTTAAGATTCTTTTAATATTCAATTATTTTTTATTTTGACATGATTAATCATTCTGTTCATTCAAAGTTGAAATTTTGATTAAATTTGAATAACACCTATTATGATTTTCATTTAGTAAATTCTTCCCAAAATTTAGGAGTGACATCAAATTACCTTGTGTTGCAAGCACAGTTAATTTAGAGAAGTGCTAAATTTTATTTACTATTTCAAAATTTTATACATACCGATTTTCGCAGTTGAAGTACATTTATTCAAATGCTAGTATGGAGGCAGAAAATGTTGTTGTTATATCGTTTAAATATGGTGGTGCGGGTGAGACATCAGAGACTCAAGAAGGTCGTTCCATACTTGGCAGATCAACAGAGGATGGAGAGAGAAAAAAGGGAAAGAAAGCAATTGTCGTCAGACATTGGGTATGTTTTCCTGCAAAAAACATCAAAATTCTAATTTCACTTTTCAAATTGACTCTAAGTTGTTTACCTACATCTACAAGATACTCAAAGTGGAGGAGCTTATTAAAATTTGATGAAATGTTGAATTTGCAAATCTGGCATGGGCCTACTATTCCATTATAATAATAATACTTTACAGAAATGTAATGATTAAAAATACCGTTAAATTAAGGTTAACTTAGTTGCCATGCCATCAAATTATAACTGTTGGAACCTTTCACTTTTTTGTACTCTAGATCTATCTGAAAGAGAATACCACTCTCTCTGATGAAGAATTAACAGCAAATGTAGTTGCAGCCCTCGATAAGGTTAAGGGTATTGAAGTTGATAAAACTTCTGTGGCATTGAAATCTTTGAAAAATATGACAAGACTTGAAGCTATTCAAGCATTAACTCAAGCTGGATTCTTTAAACATGGACTCAAAGGACTTGATCTTGGTCTACTAGATATCTTTGGAATTGGACTAGGTATGATTGAAATCTTTCTTCAACTATGCTTAACGAATTTCAGTCAT